GAAACTCCTCATCACGTCCGGGATCTCATCCGGGACTCCGAACAACCTTCGGTAACCACATACTATTTCCCATAACAACTCTAGCGTCACTGAACCTTAAGTGTGTAGACCCTACGGGTTCGAGAACCATGCAGACATGACCAAGACATCTCTCCGGCCAACAACCAATAGCGGGATCTGGATACCCATATTGGCTCCCACATGTTCCACGATGATCTCATCGGATGAACCACGATGTCAGGGATTCAATCAATCACGTATACAATTGCCTTTGTCGATCGGTATGTTACTTGCCCGAGATTCGATCGTCGGTATCCCAATACCTCGTTCAATCTCGTTACCGGCAAGTCTCTTTACTCGTTTTGTAACGCATGATCATGTGGCTAACTCCTTAGTCACATTGAGCTCATTATGATGAAGCATTGCCGAGTGGGCCCAGAGATACCTCTCGGTCATACGAAGTGACAAATCCCAGTCTTGATTCGTGCCAACCCAACAGACACTTTCGGAGATACCTGTAGTGCACCTTTATAGCCACCCAGTTACGTTGTGACGTTTGGTACACCCAAAGCATTCCTACGGTATCTGGGAGTTGCACAATCTCATGGTCTAAGGAAATGATACTTGACATTAGAAAAGCTTTAGCAAACGAACTGCACGATCTTGTGCTACGCTTAAGATTGGGTCTTGTCCATCACATCATTCTCCTAATGATGTGATCCCGTTATCAATGACATCCAATGTCCATGGTCAGGAAACCATGACCATCTATTGATCAATGAGCTAGTCAACTAGAGGCTTACTAGGGACATATTACGATATATGTATTCACACATGTATTACGGTTTTCGGTTAATACAATTATAGCATGAACAATAGACAATTACCATGAACAAGGAAATATAATAATAACCATTTTATTATTGCCTCTAGGGCATATTTCCAACAGGCGGATCGGAGCAGAGGAAGAAGACCACCGGACTCCATCAATGGCGGTAAGGACTTTTCTCTCTTGGAGATGCACGCTAGATTCGATCCATAGCGATAGATTCGATCCATGGCGGAGGGGAATGGGGAATATGTAGATAAGCATAGGGGTAGTTCATACTAGTTCATAGCAGTTCATACGAGTTCATACATGCAAGATCAGAATGCAGAAGGGAGATTGGGTGATTGGGGGATAGGGGGTGGACAACGGACACCGGCTGGCTGTGGTAGCCGTCACCGGCGTGCAGAGCGGCTGGTCGAGCCGCTGGCCTTCATCTTCTTCTTCATCGCTGTGTGGGCCGGTGGGTCATCGTCATCGTCCTCGATGGAGTCGAGGTCGGTCTGCCAGGAACGATGGCCTGGCTCCGGCGCCCTCGCTGGCATCTGCACCGCTTCTTCTTCCTCCTCCTTAGGCTCCCCGCCGATGATCACCGACGGCGCGATAGCCGTCTCCCAGTACACTGCGGGACGATGATCATTAGGAGCCCAGTAGGTCTTGTACTTGCACCACTTCTTCCTCTGTTTAGCGTCGACGAAGACGGCCTGATTCATGGCGCAGTGAATGATGTCAACTGCCATCGCGCCCTTCGCTGGGTCAGGAATCAGTGTCTTCAGCTCTTCTTTACTGGCCTTCATGAGCACTGCATTAGATTCCTTCTGCATGTCCGGCATGGAGCCGAAGTTCAAGCACACCTCCATGGTGTTCTCGAACTTGATCCGGTCACCAGCCGTCCACCCGAGGAAGAAGGCCCTCCAGCCAATACCCCAAAGGAAGGGGTTGGCCTTGGAGTTGGAGCTAGAGCTCATGGCAATGGGGAGGAGAAAGGTTGACAGTGAGAGAAGAGAGGGGGTGGGTAAGTAGTGGTGGGTAGGGTGAGTAAATATAGGAGGGTGAAGAGGAGGAGGAGAGTGACAGTCATGTCGTTTTAACTACAAGCTCTTCAATTAGCCATGAACTCTGTGTTGTGTGTGACTCCATGAATTATGTGCAGATCGAGGAGAGCAATGAGATGGGCACGGAGGTGCTCCCGGCCGTTGACAACAAGGGCAAGTAGCCCCTTCACCCAATGCCTGACGAGGTTGTGCTGCTGCCCACTGCCGAGGAAGATCCGAAGACGCCTGAGGGTGGCGACGACGAGGGCATGGAGGAGCCCCCAGCAACAAGCGCCGCAACTACGACCACTACCATCAGGAGGATGGCCCAACTCACTTCTGCAAGGTCATCCTTGCGCCGAAGTTTGAGTGCATCCCCATGCCACTGGACTTCACCAAGCACTTCGTCGCGGTGCCGACGGAGTTCAAGCTCAGGAACAACACCGACTGCTCCTGGAAGGTGACGGTGAAGATGATGAACGGCAGGGTGACCCTGGATCAGGGTTGGGCCACCTACGCAACCGTTCATCAGATCAAGATCGGCTACATGGTGATGTTCAAGCTCCTCACTCCCGACACCCTCAAGGTCATCATCTTCGACGACGATGACATTGAGGTCGTCAACAAGTGCGGGAAGCACGACGAAGCCTTCGCCGCCAAGGAGTAGGGCCGGGCCACCTCTTTCCAGTGTACTATCGAGTCTGCTTTGAACATGTTTATGATTTATGCATTGAACTATTATGAAGTGTGGTATTGCTTATATCTGAATTATGCTAGTTGATGCTCTGTTGTGCTTATGATGTGTGCTGCCGAAGTGTGGTGGTAACCTCACCAACTAGCCAAAGAGGTTACCACACACCAGGCGTTGCATACAACCAAACACCATGCCTTGAGTTTGTCCACTAACATGCAGACAACCAAACACCAGACAGTGTGGTTCTGCCAATGCAGGCAAGAAGGCATGCAGGCAACCAAACAACATGCAGATGGTGCATTTGAGGCTGCATTTGCATAGTCAGGTTGGGTGGAGAAGCGTATGCAATGCGGGTACTGTAGCGCACGGCAACCAAACACGCCCCTAGAGATTTTACGAAGTCATCATAGACGCATCGTAGTCGATGGGAACGTCTCCTCCCACTGAAAGCGTGTCGCCGAAAATCCTGAAATAAATCCAGGATAAATGCGAGCACCAGGATTTGAAGCCTGATGGGTTGGGAATACCACTGTCCATCTAATCATCCTAAGAACAACTCCAACGGGGCGACCCATTTCATCCACTTGCGTCTGTTTGGGTCAGCACGGACAAAAGTAGAGGCGCAACGTACCGACCCAAACCCAAATCGCATTCGCGCTGACGCATTTGCAGCCGAAATGCGTCGGCGCGGGCGCGAAGCGGACGCCACGCGCGCCTTCTCGGTGTCCGCGGCGTCCCCACCTGACGGTCGTCCAACTACCCAGCGGCCAGTATGGTCAGCTTAATTTATGACAACTGCCCACCTCAGGCCCACACGTCAGCAACGACGGGTCGTCCTTTTTTAAGTCGACCGTGCGGGAGGGGGGTCGTCCTCATCCGCTTCCAAAGAAACTCCCCGTCCCCATCTCGCTCCCCCATCGGCGACAACCCTAGCCACCCTAGTCAAGCCAGATGGGCTCTTCTCCGGCATTGATAGCAGCAAAGCCAAGGGCAAGGCCCCCGCCATCCCTTCTCCCTCTTAGCTTCCCCTGCCTCCGTCGGCGCCAGCTCGCCGGTCGAGGCAGTGCGTCAACATGCCAGTGCACCAGGCAGAGTGGCACTAGCAGCACCGCGTGCCTCTCCCGTACCCCGACGTCACCCTGCCGCATGACTGACATCTGGATCCGGAGAGTATCCCAGTGCTGTCGGCGCCGCGGATGGCTAGGGTGCACACACAGGAGGTGCAGTGTCGGCGGGCACAACTGACACCGGAGCAGCGGGGCGACATCACATATGCCTTCGACTCGTCCAACTGGGCTCATTGGTTTTCCTTCGAGCACGAGGAGGCCAGGCGGCGCAGCGTCCGTGAAGTCGGCCGCAGGTCACCGCCGCCCCCTCCCTCCCCCCTTGCCGTCCGCGACGAGGACCAGGAGGCGGAGGCCGCCTACCAGGCGGCCATGGCGGCCGTCCTCCGAGAGAGCGAGGAGGAGGAACATCGCCGAGAGGAAGAGGAGGCGGCGTACCAGGCGGCCATGGCGGAGGCCATGGCCCTCTCCGCGATAGGCGATCGGTCGTGCCGCCGGTGGCCACGCCTTCCCTCGTCAAGGCTGAGCCGGAGCCGACCCCCATCAAGCGCTACTCATGGACCGAACGAGTGCGTGAGTGAGTCAACACTCTGTCCGTCTGGCCAGCGTTGGCCATTTTTTCGCTCGCCATCAAAATGAGTCAGGCCAGCGTTGGACACATGCGCCCGCCGGTGGCCACACCTTCTCTTGTCAAGGCTGAGCCGGAGCCGACCCCCATCAAGCGCTACTCATGGACCGAACGAGTGCGTGAGTGAGTCAACACTCTTTCCGTCTGGCCAGCGTTGGCCATTTTTTTCGCTCGCCGTTAAAATGAGTCGGGCCAGCGTTGGACACATACGCCGACCCAAACGTGAAAGCAAATGTTGATGTCCGCCAGGCCCGTTTGTGTCGGCGTTTTGGAGTTGCTCTAACCATAGATTGGTTCGCTGCACCGCAGTGCGCTAGTACTACTATCGTGACCCTAAAAAAATGTACTAGGCCACCGTGCGGCGTGGGTGCTCTGGTGCATCTCTCTCGTAATCCGTCCACACGTCCAGTCCGATGAGCGGAGCTGCACACAAGTGCAACCATGACGCGACACGCCAGTAGCAGCTTTGCAAAATCCGTTAAGCCGTTGTCTTTTTTATGTCAGTGTCAGGGGCATCTCCAGCGCCGTGCGGCAAACGCCGGGTGTCAGCAGAGCAGAAACAACGACACAAATAAACGCCCAGGGAGGCGGCCGATGCGTACGTAGGCACGTACAAATGACATGCAGTACGCATAGTACATTATTGCATACACATACATACTGGATGTTCAATCACACGGAGAGACAGACATGGCACGAACAGCGTCCGCGAGGCACACGCTGCGCCGAGCTTTTGTGCCTAGGACGCAGCCTCTCAGTCCTCGATCACAAAGGCTACACCGTCGTGCTTCTTGAAGTAGTGCGTGGTGTGATCCACGATCTGCAGATTCCACAAGCATCGTCAGATGGGAACCACTGCCGTGCAGCCAAGTGAAGCAAATGCCCTCGGCTTAGACTCAGAAAAACCACCAGCAAAAAAAAAGATGTGTAAAAAAAACCAAGGGCAGGAAGGATGGCAAACCATCTAGCAGCAGCGCGGCTTTAATTTAAATGCAATGGTGCGAATGGCACGATGAAGCAACATAATTTTATGAATTCACATCCTAAACAGATGAGATGATAAAAGTTAGACTTGATGCGTATAATTAATAGCGCTAGTAAGATGGGATGTGCTCAACTGCATGGACGAACCAACCTTTTTTAGTGCCAACATTTTGAGTTTGGCCTAAATGGTACCCGATGGATTTCCTCACTTGTTTTAGATTGGGTGCACAACATTTCCTCCAGTAGAAAAATCTGGATGGAGTACATCAGGCTTTCAACTCTACTTAGACTATTCAATCTAGGACAGGACAGGGCGGGACAGGGTTGGTTTCAAGCTCCAGTAGATGAATGATGCACTTCTACAATACTCCTATCAAGCGTAGCATTAACTCTGTAATGCTTGTATCACCATGTAGCATTAACTCTGTAAAACTCCTCCTTAATTAATGGACGAGGCAAAGCTTTTGCCTCCGTTTCAAGAAAAACAAACAATACTCCTATCAAGCTTTCGACTCGCTACCAAAATAAGATCGGCTGGTAGTTTTCCGACTCCAGCTCACAAAAGTTTACTTAAGACAGGATGCATGTACCACTGTGCATACCAGTAGCACTGTGCTACTCGGGATGGGATTGGGCCGGGTCATGAACTGTCTGACAAACTATATGAAATTGGAAGTTAGGTAACGCAGTAGTGAAATACAAAAATGTTCATATATCCCAACTGAACTGCCTCATGAAACTTCTGAAAATGGAGGCAGCAACTTCAGTATGTCCACAGAAGCATAGAAGCTACTTCAAAAGAAACTCTTATCCTAGAATTGCGGTTTCCCTCACTTTTCCTAATTAAGGTCGGTGCTATGAAGTCCAGTTTTATAACTAACTACGACACTGCAACTGCAAAGCCAGACAAAACTACCTTGGATTTGTTAGAAGCCAGATGGAATAACTGTTTTCCAGACAAACTAAATGTAGTAATGAACTTATAATACTGCAACGACATGGCAGTACGAGCACTCACATTGGTGTTGCTCAGCTCCAGGTTAAAGTAACAACACAATTTTATAATTTCATACCCAGACGAGATGATAAACTTAAGAGTTGATGTGTATAATTAACTTCTGGTAAGGGAGATGTAATCAACTACATGGCTGAATTCTTTTTGATACTACAACATAGTGGGCTTGAACTAAACTCTAAAGGATATCCGAGCCCTTTTAGATTGTGTGCACAACATTTCTTCCATTAGAAAAATCTGGATGGAGTACATCGAGCTTTCAACTGCACTTTAGACTATTCAATCTAGGACATGATAGGACAGGTTGGTTTCCAACTCCAGCGAATGAATGATGCACTTCCATAGGATAATGACGCAACAGCAATAGTTTTAATAGGCTTCCGACTCTACAACCAATAGCAGTATAAGAAAGATTGGAAGTTTTCCAACTCCAGCTCACAATAGTCCACTTAAGACAGGCTGAATATACCACAGTGGGTAGCAGTAGCCCATGGACTAAATGAAAGCTTTATGATTGAAATGCGTACATAATTGTGAATTCATCAAGAACTGTCTGACAAACTCTCTGAAATTAGTAAAACCTTAGGTAACGTACTTGTGTGCAAAGTGTGAAAAATGCACAATAATTCGTATATCATAGTCTACCTCACGAAATTTCTGAAAATTGAAGCAGCAACTTCAGTATCGTCTACAGTAGTACTCCCTGCGTCCCTTAATATAAGACGTTTTTGCAGTTCAATTATTTTGCAGTTCAAATTGAACTGCAAAAACGTCTTATATTAAGGGACAGAGGTAGTACCATAGAAGCTACTTCAAAAGGAACTTTTATCTTAGCACTGTGAGTCTGTGATTTCTATTGCATTTCAAAATTAAGACCGGTGATATGTCAGGCTCTACTGCTCTAAGAAGACACACGAAACGAACAAGTTCAATTTTATTCCAACCAACAATGACACTGCAACTGCAAAGCTAGACAAAACTAGCTAGAGGAATTTGTTAGAAGCCAGATTGAACGATTGTTTCCCAGATGCACTAAATGCAGTACTAATAATGAACTAATAATAGCACAATGACATAGCAGACAGCACTCACATTGGTGTTGCTCAGCTCTAGATTATAGAAATCCACGGCGTCTGCCTTGAACAGCGGCCCGGCGTGCCAGGTCCCGGCGTGCAGCTTGAGAAATTTCGGACCGGAGACACGGAAGACGCAGACCTCGGACGGGTCCGGGGGCAGATAGAAATGCCCAGCGCGCGACTGCACGGCACTCCCGCCACCACTCTGCTCCGTCGCCCCGTCAACGATGGAAGGCTTGGCCACGCCGAGGTACCAGTCCTGGCCGCCGATGGAGCCCAGGCACTGCGTGACGCTGGCGTGGTGGGTGATGGACGAGAACTTGAGCGGCCTGCTCTCCAATCTCATGATGTAGAACCTGGCAAGATGGAGAGGGGAGAATAAAATTTCAGAATCTTGAGTCTAGTTCAGGTAGGAGAGGATGATTGGTTGGTGGTGCTAGTATGTGGAGAATCGAACCTGGGGATGCCGCGGCTGAGGTCGAGCTGGGCGTCGTGGGGGCCGAACTGGTCGCCGTCGGGGGAGGCGGCGATGACCTGCCCGAAGGGCGCGAAGGACTCCGGCGTGGCCTCCACCGGCCGCAGCGTCACCACCCTCGGCTCCTCCCGCTTGGCTTCCATCGCCCGCGGCGCCGACGACGAGGCGGCTCTGGCTCCGGCGCGCACGGCTCTGCAGCGCTTGCTGTTGCTGCGAGGAGGGGGAGGGGGAGGAGTGGCCGTGCTGCGGCGGCGGAAGTGGCCGAGGCGGCACGCGCGGCCCAGGAGGCCCAGCGCCTCCATCCAAACGTTTTCCCGTGGCCGAAACTGCAGCGTGCACGGTGTGGTGTGGTGCGCCGCAGTGTGCTAGTACCAGGCCACCGTGCGGCGTGTGTGCACCGGTGCATCTCTCTCGTTATGCCAGTGTCACTGTGTCAGGGCATCTTCAACGCGTGTGGATCTTACTCTGCCATCCAACATCATCCAAAAAAAACATCATCCCGCACATAGGGCCAGTTCTTTTCGCGCAAGATTCTATAGAATCAAAATTCTGGAAAAAAAATTCTAGAATCTGCTTCTCCTAGAATCTGTGGTCGAGTTCTTTTCTGAGATTGTAGTTTAAGATTCCGCAAAAAAAAAAGATTATAGTTTAAGATTCTAAAGAGAGTTATGTGTTGAAGAAGTTGCAGGCCCGTACCAGACACCTGTGTAGCATGTTTGATTGCACAGGGTCCTTTTACTGCTTTTCTTTGAACACTTTATGTAAATACTAGTACTACAACTTAATGATTAATCAAGGCACGAGGTATTAAAACGTATGGACAGCGATATTTGACAACAGTGTGCCCGATAGGAAATTTACCTTACCTATCGATCACCCGCCAGCTAACCAGGCCAACCACCCCGCCAGCTAACCAGGCCGACCACCCCGCCAGCTAACCAGGCCAATCGTTCTACAAGGCCCAACAGAATCGCAACTTTCCCCCACCCCCTTACCTCCCACGCAAGTATACCCTCTCTCACCCTCCCCACCACCCACACGCCCCTCCCCGCTACACAGCTGCTCAAAATCAACACCAAAGACCTACCCCTCCTCCAGATCTGGATCAAACAAGAGCAGATCATCAGGGAAGCGGTGGAAATTACCAGGGATACGGCGAAGAAATCACCAGGCAACATCACC